CTAACAGTTCAAATGTACAACAAAACAAATCCGGAAACAACCTAACAGTTCAAATGTACAACAAAACAAATCCGGAAACAACCTAACAGTTCAAATGTATAACAAACAAAAAGTCAACCTACAAACATACTTGAAACAGAAACAAATCTCATCTTTGAACCAATTAAAAATACATCCTCAGAATTCATACAACAATACAGAAACCCTCAAGTCAGTACAGAAACCCTCAAGACAGTACAGAAACTCTCAAGTCAGTGCAGAAACCCTCAAGACAGTACAGAAACCCTCAAGTCAGTACAGAAACCCTCAAGACAGTACAGAAACTCTCAAGTCAGTACAGAAACCCTCAAGACAGTACAGAAACCCTCAAGTCAGTACAGAAACCCTCAAGACAGTACAGAAACCCTCAAGTCAGTACAGAAACCCTCAAGACAGTACAGAAACCCTCAAGACAGTACAGAAACCCTCAAGTCAGTACAGAAACCCTCAAGACAGTACAGAAACCCTCAAGTCAGTACAGAAACACTCAAGACAGTACAGAAACCCTCAAGTCAGTACAGAAACCCTCAAGTCAATACAGACTGCTTCATACTTTAAATAGAAATAGCTAAACAACACCTAACACCTGTTATTCCACACACCATACACCTATTCTTGAGCCCAAATACCACACAATCAATTAACACAATATCTAAAACCAAGTAAAAAATGAAAGTCACCCCATTCCAGAGCTTTACTCCTACACCGGCCTCAGGATAACATTATGGGACATGGTCCTGAAAAGGACAAGATAAACAGAAAATAAATAAATAGACTACAAACCTCAAATTAAAATAACAGTCATGAAGGGAGAAAGAGGTCAAATATGCACCTGACCCTGCCAGGTCTACACAAGACCTAAAGCCCGATACCGAAACGAGAGAGAGAAATGTAACGTAACGTTAGGAAACCAGAAATCACGAAACTATCATTCACCACTTCGAAGACATAAGTAAAACAGGTTAGATAAACTGTCTATACTTTTGGAATTTGTTTTACGTTAGCAGAAATAAAGAGGATTTGATTTAGACCTAAATTTGGACCGGGCTAGTGTGCTTGGGTTGTGGATCCGAGAATTTCCGTTTGCGTTCCGTTGTTATAAAACGTTGGGGTCGTGGGTGTGCTATATAAGTGGCAGTCAAATCCGACTATTAGATCATATAAGGGTAGCCTAAGAGTTGGCGGTAGGTGTTGCTGACTAGCTGACTTTTCTCTAGTCGTCTCCCGGTGTGTGAGTGGTAAGTACGGATTTAACAACGCAAGGATCCGGGGTTCGATTCCCCTCCGTGGACAGAGCCTCTGCAGATAGCCCATCGTGTAGGTTTGCACCAATCCCTCTACTCTGTCATTTCAGATAACTTTTGAGTAGCTTTCCGAAATTTTCTGAAAAATAAACATTTCACACAGAGAAATTGGAAATATGATGTTAAAGTTCACTCTTCAGTTATCTGTCGTTTCGATACCCAAATCTATCATTCCGTTCACACAGGGCTAACACTGACACCAGAATGGCATGACTGGAGAGGATGCAAAGAAGCAGAAATTATAAATGAATTCATATTCAAAAACTGTGAACCAAATTCCGACGTTTCGCCCTTCTTGATCGACTTCCTTACATGATAACACAGTGCATCATGTGAAACGGTCATCACTAACCTTTCTTCACCATACATATATGACCGACGTTGACATTGCATTTCATTGTCTTCCAAGTCGTGTCCTGTGTCCGCAGCAGCACACAGTGGTCAACAGACACGTCATTCGGTTCTCCCTCCCCCCAGTTGGTATAATCCACGGGGCTATAATCCATCCATCGAAAGCCACCTAAAAAACCCGAAAAATATATCAATGTAGTAACGTATTCACTACGAGTAAAGTGTAATTAATCTAATATTTCTACCTTATGTGTTCAATGATAGATACTCGAAACCCCTGCACACGAGGCAATGGATAAATGGAACGTGAAAATAGGTGTTACTACCTTCACAGTAACTACATTCAAAACTCCCACCGTTACTACCTTCACAGTAACTCTATTCTAAAACTCACCGTTACTACCTTCACAGTAACTATATTTACTATTCTCACTGTTACTACCTTCACAGTAACTATATTTACTATTCTCACTGTTACTACCTTCACAGTAACTATATTACTATTCTCCCACTGTTACTACCTTCACAGTAACTATATTTACTATTCTCACCGTTACTACCTTCAAAGTAACTCTGTTCACTATTCCCCCGTTACTACCTTCACAGTAACTATGTTCACTATTCCCCCGTTACTACCTTCACAGTAACTCTATTCACTATTCCCCCGTTACTACCTTCACAGTATCCAGACAATTACTCCTTTAAATAAGTCTTATCTTGTTACTATCGTTACTACTTCCTCAGTAGCTCATGTTATTTTCCTAATCATTACTACCTACCCAACCAAATAACACACTTACCATCTGCCTTTTGAACAAGACCGATCCACAGGTCAGTTTTTGCTAAAGATAAGTAAGGTTGCATAATCTTTAGCTCGTGTTCGGAATGAAAACTTGCGAGGGTGGCATCTAAGAAAAACGTAAATTATGTTGTTAGTATTTTCATACCTGTTCAAATGTAACATGGTAATTCAATTGAAATAACTAAAACCTATTAATTTGTCTATATTATTTACTATCTCAACAAACAACACAGAGTAGTGTATTTATTGTTTATTATGGGTGTATTATTACAACAAACAACACAGAGTAGTGTATTTATTGTTTATGTGTAAAGACAATACTGAGTCATTTCTGTTTATTAATGCGTGCATATTATTACATGGGTAAAGTACAATATTATTACATGGGTAAAGTACAATATTATTACATGGGTAAAGTACAATATTTTTACACGGGTAAAGTACATTATTGTTACATGGGTAAAGTATAATATTATTACATGGGTAAAGTACAATATTGTTACACGGGTAAAGTACATTATTGTTACACGGGTAAAGTACATTATTGTTACATGGGTAAAGTACAATATTTTTACAAGGGTAAAGTACAATATTGTTACATGGGTAAAGTACAATATTGTCACACAGGTAAAGTACAGTATTGTTACATGGGTAAAGTACAATATTGTTACATGGGTAAAGTACAATATTATTACATGGGTAAAGTACAATATTTTTACACAGGTAAAGTACAATATTGTTACATGGGTAAAGTACAATATTGTTACACAGGTAAAGCACAATATTATTACATGGGTAAAGTACAATATTGTCACACAGGTAAAGTACAATATTGTTACATGGGTAAAGTACAATATTGTTACACAGGTAAAGCACAATATTGTTACATAGGTAAAGTACAATATTGTCACATGGGTAAAGTACATTATTGTTACATGGGTAAAGTACAATATTGTTACACGGGTAAAGTACAATATTGTCACATGGGTAAAGTACAATATTGTTACATGGGTAAAGTACAATATTGTTACATGGGTAAAGTACAGTATTGTCACATGGGTAAAGTACAATATTGTTACATGGGTTAAGTACAAAAGAAACATTATTTGCTACAGTGGACAGTGTAAGAAACTGATTACACGTTTAAAACTACCACAATATTTACCTTTCAAAAACTGGAACAAATGTTTATTCATATTTAAACTACTGTTTGAAGCGCCATCTATGACTCACTTTGAATAAGACATTTTCGCGAGGCTTCACCCCACTGCTTCACGGATTTATTATCGATATAATAACAGTAATGTCCTTCTACGTCTAGCCAATCAGTCAAATTGTTCGGACATTCCCCCTCAACTGGCTCAAGGATGATCGGTGGGTCGTCTGGAAAATCAGAACAATTAGGAACGAAACGGTATGAACACAATCTTGCCTGGAAACAAAAGTTTATAAAATACGTTATTAAGGAGTAAATATAAATATATATATATATAATATGTTATTAAGGAGTAAATATATATATATATATATATATAATACGTTACTAAGGAATAAATATATATATATAATACGTTATTAAGGAGTAAATATATATATATATATATAATACGTTATTAAGGAGTAAGTATATATATATATATATATATAATACGTTACTAAGGAATAAATATATATATATAATACGTTATTAAGGAGTAAATATATA